GAAGTTGAGCCCGGGAAGATGGGAGGGGTGGGGGGAGGTGTTTTAAGATAACCATCAATTAAACGATAGCAGAAAAAGTCAGTGCCAAATTAGGCTAAGAAACACAATCATATAAACTAGACTAAAACCCAACAGATCAATTAATGGATCTGCGAACAATCAAGATGCCAGGAAGAAATGGCAGGAGAAACCAGCATCAGCACTAAGCACAGCTTTGGGGCCAACCTTCCCTCCATTTCTGTGCTTGGCTTCACCACTGAGCACAGAACAGTGTTTCTCAGTAAACACTTAGGTCTTGTTGGAGTCAGCTCATACCTGTTTATGTGACTGGATTGTCATACACAGAGCAAGGCAGAAATACTTTCTCCAGATGGTTTATACATCTAATATAACACCAAGAAGGTTTAACTTGGTTCCACCTTGGGTGAAGAGCACAAATAGCCATGGGTGACACTAAACTGGGATGGCAGGGCGGGCGGGGGGGGGGGGGGGGAGCCAAAAAGAAGGGGGGGGAGCTACCATAATGAATGGCAGAACATCTGCCCAGAGGCCCTCAGTCAACTTGAGAAGTAGCACCTCGTAGTGTTCAAGGAGGAGATGCGCAGACCTCTGCGCCTGGGGTGGCACAGCCCTGTGCATTCAGCCAGGCTGTGAGATTCTCAGCTGGGTGGCAGCCCTGCTGAGAAGGGCTTGGGGTTACAGCAGACAACAGGATGACCATTAGCCAGAAGCATGTTCCCATCGCAGGTCAGACAAACAGGCTACACTAGGAGCTACATGGCTAGCGGAGCCAGAAGAGTGATTTTTAACCCCTCACAGGGGTTCATGTCCAGTGTTACATCCTCCAGTTCAGGAGGGATGTGGGAAAACAGGAGAGGGGCCAGCAGAGGCTGCAAAAATGGTTAGGGGCCTGGAGCATGGTGCCTGCGAGGGGAGGGAGCTGGGCTCGGGTAGTCTGGTGGAAAGGAGCCAGAGAGGGCATCTACCAGGAGCCTGTGACTGCTTGAAAGGCAGTTATGGACATGAGAGAGCCAAACTCCTGCAGCATCAGACACTGCAGGGAGGGACAACAGCCACAGACTGCAGCTTGGGAGGCTCACACATAAAGAAAGCTTCTCCCCCAGGAGGGTGGTGTCCCCTGCGACTCGTACCCAGAGAGGCAGTGATCTCCATCCTCGGAGGTTTAAGACTTGGCTAGACAAAGCCCCAGCTGATGTCATCGAGCATTGGCAATAGGCCTGGTCCAGCGGGGAAGCTGGAGGCCACCAGAGGCCCCTTCCCACAGGAATGACAACTGTATTGAAAAGATACCTCAGCGTTGTATAATGTTGGGGGGGGGTCCACAAACAGTTCTCAACAACAGTAAGTTTTAGTCTCTTGAAATGCAATTAGCCTTAAGAGTAAAGTTTCTTCCAGCATCAAGGAAAAAAAAAAAACACAAAAGAAAGCAAGAAAACCCCAAACCAAACCCCAGACACATTACTAATCATATCTCTATACTAATCACACCAGAGGAACACAATGCACGAGTCCATCCCAGCTTGCCAAGTTGCAAATGCTTGTCCAAAATAGCACCAGAAAGAAATCTGCAGTAATTGTCTATAAAAATACTTCCCTGTCAGCTCAGCAGCCATGGAAAAGCCTCGAATTAGACTATTCCCCTCCCCCAAATACCTTTTGCATAGACTAAAAGAACTGCTAAGACCTCTCTCTTTTCAGGAGAATTTTTCCATGCGCTACTTTGCAGGTAAAGTCACTTCTAATTGTTCATCCACTTGACAAGTTTTTTCATCTTTCACATTGTGCCCTTGGAGTAACATTACCAAGTGAGGAAAAGCATTATTTTTGATAGAAATAAGTCTCTTCACCCTAAAAAGCTAAAGCATACCCATTAGACACATGCAAACGCTGCAAAGAATCGACACAGAAAATAGTTTATTTTCCACTCCAAGCGATCTCAATAGCAACATTTCAAACTCATCAGAAACAAGCTTTAAAGTAATACAGCAAGGCACATGGCAAAGCATACATCCAGCCCCCAAAAAGAGCTGGAGACTTCTTCAGACAAGATGTGCTTCCTAAAAACATTGCTGAAGGTGAAAATCCATGTACGTTTAATATTACCACATTTGGGTTTGCGGTTTTGTAAATGAAGTCCTTCTGTCCCAGAGAAACTCCTCCCAATACTGAGAGGCTTTGCCTAAATAAGGATTTGAGGACTTTTGTCTCATTACAATATTTTACAGTAAAAACATCTGAAACACTAGTAGGCATCTTCCACCTCTGCTGAAAAACCAAAGAGGAAAGCAACACCTTAGAACATCCAAAGAAAGTGAGGTGAGCTAACAAATGGCACAGGGTTTGTATCAGCAGGGTCCCACCAGATCACTGCCGTGCTGCTTTTCAAGTGTATCAGGATTCCAGTTCGCTTAGGCGCAGTGCTAGAAAGCTACCAATTCCCAGCAGAAAAGATCTTCCTGTATTCGTGTATGAAAGCATCTGTCTTTCCAAGACTGACTCCATAGATGCCATCTGGCACCAGAGACACAAAATGTGTCTGCCTGCTGCTGAGAAAGGATTCTTCAACACCATTCACCAAGGAGGAAGATTTCCCATCAACATTTAGGGCTTTTGCAGCGTCGGTTTCACTTGCGCTATCAGAAATGG